CCCTGAGCCGGTGAGATTTGAACCGCTGAACTGCTGATCTAGCAGTAGCCTGCAGTGCTGCATTTAACCACTGCGCCACCTCGGCTCTTAAATAGTATAAACATTGTTTAAATGTTAGCCTTCATGTGAAACCACCTGGAAAAAAAAATTCCTAAAATGTAGAAAGTGAAGTTTTCATTGATCAGATAAATATGTTACTGATATTTTTCTTTGAGGAAATAATTTAACAATTTAATGGGTCTTAAAAATATTTCATGTGTTAAGTCCACATGTTCTTAATATGAAAATCTTAATATGAAAATATGATGATTGGCAGGTGATAGTTTCCTTCAATTCTTTTTGTTTCTTTTCTTCCCCACTAGATATGTGGATATGGAATTCAAACCATATGTTAGGTCATTGCTTAATATTCGTTTGCATCTGCTGTAAAAATAGCCAGCCAAACTTAAATTAAAACTATTATAAAATACAGATAGTAGTTGACTTATCATTATAACAGTTCCTGGAATTTTGGTCACAAGTCAGTATAGTAAGTAGTTGGGTCATCACATGGCCAGCTTCAATTCTTTTTGTAAAGGAAGTGACTACTTTCGTAAAGTGAATTGTGATCATTAAAGGAATATATCCAATGGGCATTTCCTGCCAGAAAATGACAAAACAGTTGGAAATCATGGTTACATAACTGGAGAACTCTGCCACTGATCATAAATGCAGGTTAGTTGCAAAATGCCTGAAATGCAATCGTGTGAGAGCGTTGAGGTGGCAGACATAACTTCAAGGATGGGTTGTAAGCTTTTTAAAAAGTCCATTGTAACCCTGAACACTGTTAAGTGACTTAAGTCCTTTAAAGACTTAAATCACTAGTCATAAGTCAAGGATTATCTGTCAATAGGGGTTATCTTTGATTCACTGTACAATAATGAAGTTGATATTTATTCCATATTTAGTTCTTGTTGCACTTAAGTTTGCTTGCTTGATTAGCCTAGCCTCGGCATCTGTTCCTAAAGCATCTGTTCCTTTAGGCCAGTGGTTCCAGCTGGCTGGAAAATTCTGGGAGTTGAAGTCAGGGGTGGGTTTCAACCGGTTCGCGGCGGTCCCTGCGAACCGGTTGGTCGCCGAACCCGGAAGTAATTAACTTCCGGGAATGACGAAGGGCGCGCCCGCCCACCCGCGGCCCTTACCCGGTTTTGATGAGTTCTGCACTTCCATGCATGCGCAGGACGCATACAGCGCCTGCGCGATCGTCCAGGAGCAGCTGGAGCATGGCGCAGACGCTAGTACGTATGTGTGCACCGCGCGCGTGCACGAGGACGCCACCGGCCCCGTTCCAACCGAACCGGTTGGAACGGGGCC